TATATATGAAGTCCTGAACAGATTAGCGCCGAGCTGCTAACACTGCAGCCCTAACTACAGCACCATGCAACATTAACCAAGATCTTGGGTACTTTGAGGGTACCTTTATGCCTGGTAGCAACTGCTTAACAGGTAAAAGAAGTCCTGGATGCCTGAGATGTTGGGGTTTGTTATGTGGAAAGGAAGCAGTATGAATTCAAACCTTAATGAAAGGCTTAATCCTTCCTTCCCTGCCAGAGACCTAGTTTTCCTTGTGGAGTTCAAAAGAATGAATTAAACTTCCTCAGCATGCAAGCCAAATGATTCTTATCTCCATCAATGTTATATTGCTTTTCTTCATATATAACTAGTACAAACTATCAAGTGAGAACAAGAAATATCCCAAGGAGTAGTGTCCAAACTGTATTTAATTTTGCAGTAAAATCTTATCATGAACTTGAACTTGCTGACAAACAACTGGAACACTACAAGAACTGGGGCCAAGAGGCCATTCAGCTACAGCACATTAGATATAGGTTTTACTTTCATTATAAATAATCCAGCCAGGAAACATGAAATTGCTACTCTACCCTTAACTGGTTTTGTGGTGGACTTGGTAGCGTTAGGTTAATGGTTGGACTGGATGATCTTAAAGGTCTTTTCCAACCTGAACGATTCTATGATTCTATATTTAGTATTTTGTTTTTCTGGAGAAGTAGGACAGCACTCCAGGTCTTCGCAGTTTATTGATACTTCTGAGACTCACAGTTCTTAACAGAAGATCTGAAAGGTCCATTTACTTTTAATGTGAGGCATGGCTGTATCCAGTCTACTCCCCTTAGGAGCCTCAGGTATTCCACATTATTTACCTATTCTTGGTCTCCTAGAATAGATACTCCCAGATTCCAGCTAAGGCACATAAGCCAGGCTCCATATGGGATGCTTGTCCCTCAACTGTTTCAGAAGGGAAATAACAACCTAGATGAGCTATGTTGTCCACTTCCACCTGCCCAGTACCCACATTTACAACCAAAAAAAATCCCTGAAGCATAATTCCAAAGTATTTTGTTCTTCATATCCCACACTCCTTAGCAAAAAGTACTACTTACACAGAGACGTACAAAGTTTGGTATTGCAACTCATGATTTACAGAGGTTTGAGCAGACAGTATATATTTCTACAACTCCATAACTAATTCTTTAAAGTGAGAAACTGTAAACTGAAATTTATTGCCTAAGTCTTTATCTGGGAGAAGGGCTGCTAGCATCAACCTGACAATGCCCATGGCAACAAGGTCAGCAGCAGCTGTAGGAATTAGCTTTTAGGCAGAAAATAGCTCCTCTGTACATCAGAGACAGAAGATGTCTGGACATAGACAATTGTTTGTTTGTTTTCTGTCCCCAAAACATATTTTCTGTTCTCCAGCCTTCCTGGGCCTCGCAGAATTAGAAAGGTACTGAACAAAAGATGCCCACAGATAAAAGTCTAGAAGCAGTTATTGCTTTTTCTTAAAATTCCAGATTTTGAGCTGCCATAGGAACCACAGCAGCTGAATTACACTTCTCCAGTAAGTAAATCCCTTAAAACCAGGTAATGCTTTTGAAAATACACTGTCAATTTTGCCATTAACTTATTGCCCTCTACTCCGTAACACACAAATGCTCTACTCTCCTGGTTTTTTTATTACCTCTCATTTGTATTTCTTGTTGCTCCCTTTCTTTCTTGGCTTGGATGGCAAGAAGGCGCCTGCTCTTCACAGCACTGATCATATCATCAGCTTCTATTTCTACACGGTGCTCTAGTTTCATCATCTCATTTTTTTTCTTTTCATTTCTTCCCATCATATTCTCATCTTTCCCATTCTCCTTGCTTTTGGCCACCATTTCTTTTCGCTTCTGTTTTTCTGCTCTCTTCTTGTCATTTTCTTCCTTCAAAATAGCTAGGCGCTCCTTCCACAGCTCTGCTGATGTCTGCTGCTTGGCCTCCACATGGTCCTGCACTGAGTACGTCATTAGAATCCGGTGGCACAGTGCTCCAAGTATCCGCAATTTCTCTTCAGGAGTCAACTCAAAGAACTCCGATGTCTCCAGTTTCTCCAAAAACTCATCCTGTACTTCGTTATCCTCAAAAGCTGCCGAATCCTTGCTTTCATCTACATTATCTGAGACCTCACTTTCCTCTTGCACATCTGACTTGCGTAGGCATAGACGAACCAACTCAGAAGCAGAATGCAAAGTAAGTGGTATTTCAGAAAGCTTCATTCCTAGCTCAGCATAATCTTCAGCAATTTCATCCTGCAGCAGTGTCTGCAAGAGAATGACCAATACTCGGTTCAAATAAAGGAAGCCTCCCTTTTCTGCACAAAGTGCTTCCATCAGGGAAACTGCTGTAATGGGATATTGAGCATCTGGCATCAATAACCCTGAGTAACAGCTCAGGAACTCCACCACCATGGCAACATCCCCAAAGAGCGTATTAGGAAGTCCTTCTGGAGTATCAACCAGTTTAAAAGTAGGCAAGGTCTTCCCTTTAAGATCTTGGTCCTCATATCTTTTCTGTTTTTCCAGTTTTTCCTTCATTTCCTTCTCCTTCCGCTCCTTTGCTCTCTCCTTCAGTTTCTCTTTCAGCTTCTCCCTTTTCTTCTTCATGTACTCCTTTCGCTGCTCCTCTGTCATGGTAGCCCATTTCTTCCTGTGCTCTAGAAGTTCGTAGCGTTTCTGTACTAAGCCTCGCAAATCCTCAGGGAGACGGGCACGATCCTCATTTGAGAGTAACCTAGCCGTTTTGGAGATGATGCAGGAAAGAGCACTTTTTTTGTCTTCCCGGTCTTTGTTTTCTTTGTAATAGGCGATGAGATGGAGTGCTGCAGGAGGCAGATGTTTCTGGGGTTTGCTGGAAGACCTAGGGGTGCCTCCAGAATTCCTGGGAGCCCTGGACACCTTAGTGGTACCTTTAGCCATGTCCAGTAATGTCATTTGTTTCATTTTCATCTTAGGGGTCTTCAAGACTTTCCTAGGAGACTTTGATTTCCCTGATGACTTCTGCCCATTGAGAACCCTTTTGCCTCTTTGCTTTTTGTCCAAGGATTTGTTGCTGCCCTTCCCCAGTCGACTCCTCTTTGGAATGTGAAAGTTAGAACTAAGTTTAGCAGGTGACATAATTTTCATCACCTCTTCCAGCTCCTCTTTAGGACATTTTGAATTTTTAGAGTTTTTCACCTTCAGTGGAGAGCCAATAATAGATTTCTCCAAATGCACATGGCACCACAGAGTAGGGCTCAGTGGCTGGCCCAGGGATGATCCATCAACTTTGGATTTCTTACAAGGCTTTCTGTCAGGTGATCGAGAGCTCTTCCTCTTGGTTGAGGGGTTGAGAGTCATATACTAAAATTAAAGAAAGAATGATTTTATATTAATATTTAAAGGTAAATAAAGGTTATCTAGATCCTTTTCTGTCAATTATTTTTGCCTATATTTATTTTTAATGTGTTTTTCCAATGAACAAAGAGTACTCAATATGTTAAGGGTAAAAGGCTTCTGCAATAGCTTTCAATATTCTGCGTATTAGTCACTATGCTGGTTATGAGGTCTTCAGCTCACTCCAGAAAGTTCACATTTAACTTTATAAAATGAAACACTACAAAGTTTTAAATGTTTCCTACTACATTACATAAACCCACTTTGTTTCTGCTTAAAAAGGTTGTGTGGAGGGGATTTGCCTGGAAAATGCTGACAGTAATTTCAAAAACCTATTCCTCTGCTCAGAGATTTCTTAGTGAGTCATGCTGGGTTCAGTCCTAGACCCCACCCAGCTCACCACCCAGAGGAAAACTGAAGGAACACAGAAGTGATGGGTGACAGGAGTTCAGAGAATGGTTTCTGAACTGCCTGAAAGTGTCTGGAGGGAAGGTGAGACTGGATTCAATTCTGAAGTAATGTGATTGAATATCTGACTGTTTTTAAACTGCTGAAATAACCTACCTGACAGGGTACTTTGGGCACAGAACAGTTTAACCCAGAGCCAAAGAGAGACTGATTTCAGGACTAGTTCAGCATCTCAAATTCATTTTCAGGATGCACCCAGAATACTAATATATTTCAAGAAGTGAAAAATAAAATACAAGGATATAACCTTTAGGTTATAGATAAAATTACCAGAAAACAGGGGCTGAAAATTTGAGATTCCTTAGCAATAAAAAATTCCACAGTGGTAAGCACAGCAAAAGATGCAAGCATCTAAGAAGCATTTATTTAAGAACAGACATACACAAAAGTGATCAAGTTAAGACTGCCACAGGAATATTCAGATTTTCTGGCTCATGAATGTTCACTCCTGAAGGCTTTTGTTTAAGAGCCCTCATTAGCCCATTAGAGAAATTTTTACTGAAGATTTCACAATCACCAAATCCAGTGTCTGCATAACTTCATTCCACAAAAATTCTGTGTTGAAATCTTTGCTGAAGAGAATTACCCAAGCCAAAAGCATCCAGCATTGATAGGAATCATAATAATTACAAATTCACAAATATTAGATCTACAGGTTATGCTGTATATCCAACTGTCACTTATACGAAGTTACTGTGTCAGAACACTAATTCTGGATTAATAAATTCCCCAGCCACTTCTTAGAATTTAAAAACTCAACATAAATTCAATCTCTATGCCAACTGGGAAACATGCTATGGAAAGCACCACCCCTAAGCACAAAGCTAAGGACTTCTGTAAGTCAAACCAAAGATGTTACAGTTGCGTATTTTTTCTTATACTAAGGGTACGCCTCCACCCATCAGGGCACTGAATAAAAGAATTTGTACATCACCAACAAATACTTAATTTCTGTTAAGGCAGTGACCCCAAATACTACAGCAAGGGTAAACGCAGCTCACATATGAAGAATTTATTTTTCCCTTTAAGCAAATTTACAAACATCCAGAAGAGTCCATAGAAGCTTGCTAGAAAAGGGTGTTCTCCTCCTGATGAGGGATATAGCAAATATTTCTCTTCTAGTTTCAGAGCAACACTTGACAAAGACCAAGCCCATGAAAAAGTGAGTTTACTAAATGAACAAAATAGTGCTGTCTACACCCAAAGATGGATTTTAAAACAGCAAATTTCATGATATGACATTTACTTGGTTAACAGTATACTTGGCTGATCATTACAAAGGGCTGGAAAAAACGCCATCCCTGCTACTTAGAGTATTCAGTACAAAATTTGTGGTATCTGCCATCACCATACAAGAACCAAGCATCATGAAGTCAAACACATCCAGCTTGTGCATTGTAACCATGAAAAGGGCCCAATAACTGACAATACCATGTAAGGACTATAGCTCTTCTATTTGTCTTACACCAGGAAATCATGTCTTTACTTGTAGATGAGTAATGCAAACTATTGGAAAAATCAAGAAAAGGCAGTTACACCTCAAATTTTCAAAGCAGACCACTGTTCCAGACATTAAGCTGCATCACCTCACAAAGGGTCAATCTTCAAAAGTGGGCCTTCCTGCTCTACATCTCTCTAAGTTGATGTAAGCTTGGGAGCACCAAAACCCAACTGCCATACTGAAGTCTCTGTCAAGATTGTTTAAGGTTGGGAATGGGTGACAAAGCAAAGGGGTGCTTTTAGTAGTTCTTACCTTATGTGGGTCAAGCAAGAAGTCACTAAATTTACTGGGGAGAGAGTATTTCTTCACTAACTCATCCTCCACTACCCACGGGGCATTCTCACACGTGCCAGCCCGTAGTGCGTTATGACGGATGAAGTACCTCAGGATCTCCTTGTTGGGAGGACGCTCTGTGCGGACTAAGCTATCTGCTGGTACGTTGCTGATGATCTTGGAGATAACACACAGACGTACTGTTAACATTTAACTTCTATCCACATTATAAATACATATCATATAGCTAAAAGGAGCAAGAACCATTGTACTGCTTCATGTGAACAAACTCTTTGCTCTTTCAAAGCTCTCTTGCAAAGACTCAGAACACACCAAACAGAACTTGCAGAACTGAGATGCACAATAGAGACTGGTAGGAGATTGTTAGCCAAAAAAGTAAAAACATGTTAGTTTATGTTGCAGATTTCTTGCCAAAGCCCACTGCTTTATCTTTGACCTTCCTCCTGCTTGTGCTTGCTACTAATGTAAAAAGTTTTACATAATAATGTTTATTTTGTTTTGGTTATTTTCCCCTGAGACCAGAGGAGTGGACTACCACTGCAAGTGGTAGTCATTAAATTGAGGTCAGCACTGCCTCTCTTGTCCAATTAGCAAACAGATGACAAAAAGCACACAGCAGTGCTGCGACCACACAGAGCTTCCCTAAGTGCAGCTACCTATGACTCTCAGAGAAGCTCAGTTAGACAAGAGCAGCAACTGCCGCTCATGATTTAACTAGCCTACCTCTGACCAAGTTTCATTAACTGCCTGACCAAAGATTAGCTAGTTAACAGCAACCACTCTAAAGCTACTGTAGCACTGTAACTCAGTGTGTGGTACCAGGAAATTGTCAGGTGTTTCCACACACAAAACCCAGTTATATATAGAAACAGCCAGGCTAGTCAGCCTCAGACAACTACAGCTATCCTGCTTCCAATAGCACGACTCCAGCAGAAAGTACAGCAGAAAGCTGTACAGACACACTGACAGTGATTATTAATTAAACTTGCATATTCATGTTATAATAGAAAGGATTCAAGCAGACAACTCACCTTATCTTCATTTTTCAGCTTGACATCATATTTGTGTGGCAGGAATTTAGGTGGAACCCACTTCCTTTCTTCCTTCTTCAAAGAAGTGGGAAGCTTCCGAGGAGACCTACGTGCTCGATCATCTGATAAAGCAAGGTAAGATATTAAGTGTCTTAGTATTATTTAAAAAAAAAAAAAAAAAGGTTAAAGAATCCAGACCATTGCTGGACCTGGCACCCCACCCCTTGCTATCTATACAGTGTTTGGTTAAACTAGAACATCAAAAAAAAAAATCTGAAATTGGGTTTTAGAAATATCCTGAAGATGCAGGCTGGGAATGGAGTCCCTAAACAGCTCTGAAGTAGGAGGTAACACCTATTATCAAGGAGTATAAAGGACCACTTGCAGTATTTAAACCCATCTCTCTACAGACAGTAAGCTGCAACTACCTATGCAAAGGGAGAAAATGTCTGTAAAATTCACAAAGGGGACACAGGTTTCATAACTTAACCAGTAACCCGCTTAGGGAGCTCCTGCCAAGAGCCCTAGCTGTCTCTGCCATGCCATATTTTAAATAATTCTACTGCAGGAATTACTGACTAAATTAAAGCAACTTTCAAAGTAATTTCACTTTGGTGGCCATTAAGCATTCTACAGTTATGAGCCCTGTGTATATGGGCTAGCTTAGTTGGAGATTTTAAGCATACTTATACAACCAGTCTTTTTATTCTCAAGACATGTAACTGAAAGAGTACAAAGGCATCACATCTTCTTGCCCACTGGTGTTGAGTCTATTATTTCTATATTCAGGTTGCAAATGTTAATCATTTAAGACAAAATCCAAGCTTACTGAAGAAAGTGATCCCCAAATGTTTTTATGTTTGTGGCTACGACTCAAAGAAAACACTAAAGCGAGCATGACAGATGAGAATAATTACCTATTAGGTCTAGCATCTACTTGTATTCTGCGTATACTTAAGTCAGACTTTTAAATATCTATCTATCTACCATTGACACATTGTAAGCCCTACAGCATTTAAGCTTCAGCAGAATTATAGCTTACATGGTATAAAACCAAGTTCTGCCACCCCTCGGCTTCCAAAATCAGTCACCTTGATTAGAGAACAGGTCACAGATGCTACAGGCTCACTGCACCATATACATAAATATGCAGCTGCTTCCCATTAGTGCTACATTTCAGATAATGCAATGTAGAATCCTCCACTCCAAGCATGACTCATTATAGAAGTTTTTCTTTAAAATAAAAACCCCTGAATTTCATAACAGTGATAGTATGTGTGAAAGTAGACATCCTCTCATCGCAAGTTAGGCCGAGACATAACTTTTGCCTGCTTTGGTTCTACATGTGTATTAAAAAATCTTGATAAGCTCATAAATACCGAACTATGTTTTTCTGCTCAACAGCACAATGGAAGTCGCATACAAGACACTTCAAGCTCTGTAAAAGACGTGCTTTCAGAGATCTGCCTCAATGTCTTTTAAGCAGCTGAACATTATCTTTGCTGCATGTGCATACCATGCATAGCAAGTTTATATTTAAGAAATAACAATGCATTGCTTAGTTCTGGCTCGGACTTTGAAGGACTCGGGTACACTGCCGCCTCTGCAACAGGCCTGTAAGCAACCTCTCCTTTTGTGATTTACTTCCCAGATTCTAGAAATAGGGATGACTACATTGAATTCCATCAAACAGCACCTGGATACTCAGGGGTGGGGAAGAAGAAATCACTATACATTCCTTCCTAAAGTTATTTTACAAAAAGTGTACTTCATTTGTTGTTGCATTGTACTGTAATAAAACTTACATTCGCTACACTACTGGAACCTCATAAAGCATCCACATGCTGTTGTCTCCTCCTATTCACCACTTATTTTGGATTTTCCAAAGCAGTATTAGTTCCAAGTACAGCTCAAGCTGCAGAACCTGCCTTCAGTAGTTCACCATCCATTTTCAGGAAAAACTAGCCTTTCCTCTCACTTCTTAAGATTTTCCAGAGTTCACTCCCTAAGCAACTAAAAGTACAAAGCCACTTCAGACTGCACATATGATGCAAAAGCAGGTATAAAGCCTTATTTTTAGCTTCTGAAGCACAGTAGACTCCTAACCAGAGAGACTGAAGCTCTCTTTCTCTGCCCCTTTTCTCCTCCAACAAAATCAGCAAGTTTGACATAAGTATCAGTAAAAATGCTAAGGTTAACTCTGCCCCCTTGTGTGTGCACAGAAAGGTACAGCTGTTACACACTGTTACGCAGAGCCTGTTACTGCTTCTAAATGCTCACTCTTGCATAGTGACCTCAATCTCCATTACCAGTGGTCAAGTATGCAAATTATTAGAAAGAACAAGTCAAAGTGCGGCTAGGTACCTCCAGACACTGCACACAGCCTCCTGCAGGTGCAATTAAGGGCCTGAATCCACTAAATGAAAGCAAGTCTTTACTACTTCTGCAGTATGCTGCATAAATGTAACAAAGGCTATGTAGTTATTTTAACAGACTCTGGAATACAGATTCAGTAATGAGTTTACTATGAACCTATGTTCTATTATAACCCAGAATATAAAAACATTAGCAATAAAATATCCTTTTAGTAAATGCACATGTACAAGGAGAAGAGTTAAAAGAATGAGTGCTTACTGCTTTTATTGATTATGTTATGACTGCTAGCATCTTTGATTTGAAAATGTTGAGGTTCATCTTTTACAGAAAGGGTAGGACAGTCCCAGTTTACAGAGGTGACTAAACACAGGCCAGACAATCATCTGAGTCAGAGACTAAAAAAGGCACAGGAATCCCCATTCCTGCAGTATTCTTCCAATCTCAGAGAGCTATGCTGGCAGTGTCAGTACAAGCATAGGTGAACACAGCTGGTTAGAATACCACACACCAATGAACAAAATATTATGGTAGACTTTACTGAACACCCAAGCCCAAAAATGCTGCTGAAAATTTGGTCAATGACCATTTTTAAAGTAAAAAGGTACTTCCCATGCCTTTTATGAGGTAGTTTGAGAGAAATACCACTCATATTAAAAAAAAAAAAAAAGGCACTCCAAGCACTACTACTGTTTCAACGGACAAGTATAAGGCCGGATCATTTCTGCAACACCTTTTTTTCCCCTTCCTGGTTATACAGAGCACTGCAATGAAATCAAAACAGGTCATAACTTTTTCCAGTACCAATCAGAAACAGTTGACAATTATTAAGCTTGGGACTAGAGCTTGGTAGAACTTGTGTTCCACTCCTGACTATGCTATTAGCTTGCTGGGCTGTTTTCCAAGTTTCCTCTTCTCCGTATTAGAGGAGGTTATATACACCTTCCCCAGATGTTGGAGTGGCTATTTACAAATGTAAACTGTTTATTACATTTATATGCCTTTAAAATTAAGCTATCCACATTAGAGCTATGCTGTGGGGCTGGGTTGGTTTGTTTTAAAACACTTTTTGAAATATCTTTTAAAGAATCTTTTAATTCCATTTTTAAGAAGTTACACAGAACATAAAACTAATTTTTTTTTTCCTCTTTCAACAGTACCTTCTCAGCCTCAAGAAAAGCCTTGGACATCCACTGTTTAGTTCTGCAGCAAGGAGGAACAGATATGAAAGAGGGGAACAATGTTTCAAAGCATGCTTTATTTTGAAACTTTAGAAAAAAAAAAATTAATATGCATTTTTCTGCATGAATTTTGTCTCAGCATTTGAAAATTGGAAAGGGGATAAACGAAAATAAAAAAAAACCCTTATCTTTTATGTCAACTGGGGACATGAAAGAGAATTAGAGCTTGTCTCTGACTGCAGAACAGGCTTTAGAACTACAGATGTTTGTTCTGAGGATGAACATCACAGCAGAACTTTATGATTCTGCATGAACCTTTGCTGTCATCTGCCCCACCCCTTTTTTTTTTTTATACACTTGCTACACTTTTGAAGCTTAGATGTTTCATGCACAGCTTTCAGTATTACATCTTAGAATGACAGCACATTTTCTGCTTTAAAACAGGCAAGAACAGTTGAAAGCCAACAGCACTGATGCCACTAAAGCTGCACCACTAACGACGACAACTTCAGGATTTTCATTACGTAACATCACATACAACATTCACAGCCCAGGCCCAAGATGTACATAATTTAAAAAACTCACTTCCAGGTGCTACCTACTGGCATGCTGTCTTACTACTTACTCATACTTTCCCTCCTGTTGTCATCCTCCTTCAGGATAGCTTCCTTCTGGTTGTCCTGGGCTGCCTGGCTGGAGTTCTCCTTGTCACTGGATGGGGAATCACAAGCTCCATCAGATTTCTTTTCCGAGGCCTCTTCATCAACTTTCTCCAGGGGATGTATTTTCACAACTTTCACAGGCAACATTTTCTTCTTACCAACCTGCATGGAAATATTGATGAAAACTGAACCTGAGCAAGACACATGAACTAATGAGCTTTAACACTGTGAGGAAGAAAAAAAACCCCAGCTCTAAGACCACCTACAAACCGTAATTTGGCAAAACACTGAATTGAGAGAAGCTCATGATCCCTCCCATGAAACAATTACAGGATTTCTTTCTACTACTCCAACCTGGAAGGTGTGTATGAATTGCTAAGAAAGAGAGAACTGCCAACCCTCAAGTTCTTCCAGTGTTTAATAATGCTGTTTTCTCAGCCTAAGGAAAAAGTGTGTGTGCAAGGTGCAAGCGTGCTCTCTCAGCAGCCTCAGTGGAGAGAATATGTCCTAAACAGATTGCTAACAAAGAATATTTTATAACTTTCCTTATTTTTAACAAGTTTGAGTTTTCCCCATCATTCCCAGTTTTGGAGGGAATGTTCCAATCATTAGAGTACTGTTAGAGATTTGTAAGCAGATGACTTTCAAGCTATGTTAGTTTAAGACTATTACTCCTCCTTCTGGGAACATGTTAGGTGAAAAGATTACAGCAGATTATAATTTTTAACTTCTTTCAATTAAAATATGTTTTTTATATATATATTTAATATATACACAGACCATCATATATTTAAGAAGTTTAACAAATATATCTCTATTTCCCCATGCACACACATAGATCAGTCACTTTTCTCTTGCTATCAGTATGGGCCATCCATGTGCTTCTGCTTATGGAACCATTTTGCATTCAAAAGCAGGTGCTGTCACTGGGATTCTATAGAAAAGAAATTCTCACCATCTTTCTGATAATGTAAGTGGCTAACATATTCTTCGCATCTCCTGCCTTTAGCTATCCAAAATTAGCTCTGTGCAAAAGCATGGGATAAAATGGAAAACAGATCCTTACCTCAAAGTCACACTCTTCTCCCACTGCAAATTTGGTCATGATCTCCAGCCAAGCTGCATCCACCAACTTTTCCAAAGATACAGTGTTGTGGTGGACTATTTCCAGTACCAGTTTCTCATACCAGATGGGGAACTCCTCCTTTAAGCTGAGCAAGCACATAAGTTTTCGTTATTCAGGGAATAAAAGCCAAAATGCAAAGTGGCCTCCCATTTCACAATTCCAGGAACATTAACAGCCAGGACAATGTTTGAGGCAGATGCCACATTAGCATGCAAATGTCCAAGGGCTTTTTGCTGCCCTCCCCCCAGCACCTCCCCAAAGTGTTAACTGGCATGACAATACAAATTTTACGTGTCCTTCCCAGAAGGAACACCATAAAGCATTCTGGAAGAGCAGCGCTGACAGTCAGCCCTTTCTTGCTGGTTATTACTGCCTCTCTATTAGATGTTAAACATATACCAAGACCATGTCATTACTCTGGGGCTTGTGACTTTAAAATTTTTGCTTCCAACAATAACATGATGAACATTTAGCATTTCTTTCTTCCCAACAGATTGCTAACACAGTAAAGAAGACAGAGGCAGGCTTACACAATCAAATCATCGTTCCAGAGAAAAATATTTTCTGTGTTTTGCCATATCATGATCTTCAAACTTTTTCATTCAAAGAAGAGAAAGGACTGTTACAAATTTACTTGACTGATTTCCTTTCTAAAAGATCAGGTCAGTTAGCTGATAGGAGCACTAAGAAACACATTGCATAAAGCTTTCTGTCTAAAAAGTGAAGTCCGTTTCAAGTTACTGTAAGGAGGAACAAAATACTTCATTTTTCCAAAACCCTTTTAGCTTCCCAGACTTAGGGATCCATTGCTGACAATCCTCAGCTATATTTGCTGTTCTACAACTGCCATGAACAAGTTTATCCCTTTAGCAAACTGCCTAAATGAACTTTTTTATTCAGACTAGTGTCAGGTATTAGAGCAGCCAGCAAACTGCCTGGAAAGCTTTTCAATCTGTTTCAAAGAGACAAGAACAAAATCTCATTTCACAGAGTCTTTTTCTCCCCACATTTAGAGAGACTATAGCTAAATTTGTTATTTAGAAATCTTCCATTTATATTTCATTTACATTTCTTAACGTTTTCAGAAGTGGCTGACCAATCCAACATTGTTAACCAGAAGTAAGCAACACTACACCAGTGGTTTTTGGGTCAGGATTACAAGTTTATGGAGCTGGCTAGCACTCTCCTCTCAAACAAGAACACTAGGGAGGAAAGACTGAAGACAGTAGTACTTCAACTGTCACAGAAGTCAGGACTATTAGCAAACAGGTTTCTTATTTGTTGCCTTTAAGGATGTGATTAACCTCAAATGATGGGGAATTTCTCCTTAGGCTAAGGCTATTAACTCTTTTGCCAAGGAACCAGAAATGTGGATTCTTCATGGAAGAGTGGCAGCAAATTTCACCTCTTGGGCAGTATGGCTGACGATCTCCCCAGTTTAAATCCAGGAAGAAAAAAAAAAATCACTGAAGTCCAAGTCACCAGTTCACAGAACAGAGACATGCGCCATTTGTTTGCCATAATTCCTACAATTTGGTAATCACAAAGTAAGTTATATGTGTTGGTTGAGCCAAGGACTTGCACCTTTACAGAAAATTCACTTCTATGGCAAGGGTCACGCTGGATCTCAACCAAGCATTCGGGGCCTGTGCTGTGTGCTAAAGGGGGAGGTCAGGGACACGGCAGCCCAGAGGAACACTGGTGGTCTGAACAGAATAATGACTCTTGCTGGTTTCCCTTTGTTCTTTGTTGTTTCAAGTAGAGCAGATCCCCAAAATCTCCCTCCAAAATTATTTTTCTGTTTAGTACAACTGATTCCAATGCAGATCTAGAAAAAATAATTACAGCTGTGGACTGGGCTGATGTGAAACACTTCAACGGCCTCTTTTTACTGTATTTTTACTTTAGCTCCTTCAAGATTTATTGTTTTCCCCTCTGAATATTTCCAATTACTCCAGGGGTTTTAAAATATGCCAAGTACCATTTGCTGAACTATTCTGGTTCAAGTAATACCAAGATAGAGCACTAAATAAGTACATTACTCAACTGCATTGATGATAGCATCAAATTTGGACTTAATTTGCTTTCAACTCCAGAATCCCCAGATCTACTTGCAGCCAGTAAAAAGCTACTCACCTCACAAACTAGTAATCACATATTCCCAAGTCCACTCTTCTGCCCCGATGCCTAAAGATAGACACATACCAATTTCTTCACTGGTACTTACAGCTCAGCAACTTCCTGCTCCTCCTCCCAAGCCTCTTTGTGCGTCAGCTGGCTGCTTCCTGTGCTTTTGCACGTCCATATTCGTTCGCTGTACCTCTCTAAACGCGCTTCATACTCTCTGTAGAAGCGGCAGCTCAGGAAAACAGGATTTATGCAGTGAAGAGCATAATCACAGTAGCACAAGACAATCAAATTCAATTAAACCCTTACTATTGAAGTGCACAAAGGCTGAGGATCGCTACAGTATAGTTTGACCCTGCATCTACCATGGAGATGCCGCGTTAAATGTGATAGGTTTTCAGACCATGATGTACTGGAGCTTTCTGCAGCTGAAATGCCTGTCCTGTTCAACACTGGCATACAGAAGGTGCCACACCACCGTCAGTTCAGCTGAACTGCACGAGGGGAATATATGATATGGTTGAACGTTTCATGGCACTGCTAAATTACTTTTCAGCTTTTCCAGTCTGATTCATTGGAAAACAGCACAATGTCACAGGCATGTGCAGGAGACATGACATGGCCTGCCGCTAAGTGCCCAACAGTAACTGTTGGGGAACTACTACTACTAATGCCCTAGAGTGGTGTTACAAACTCTAGATGCAAATTACCAGTCTACCCAGTACCCCCAATCTTTTGAGGAAAAAACCCAAAAGCTTTGAAATTGAAATCACTAGAAAGGCTGCCTTTCCTTTGGTTTCCAACAAGAGCAGCCTCCTGCGTTAGCACAACACAAGGATCTTTCTTATCAACTACATCACCTGCTTCCCGTACCATAACCAGCCTCAAGGTTAAGTTATTCTGGCTGTTAGGATTAATGGGTGCACAGTCAAGTCACTGTGGTGCAGACAGCATTATGAATTACAGCATTAACTACTCTGTTGTAAGCAACTGTGGCTATGCTCTACCCATTCCACCTAAGCAGTAATTAACTGTCAGTGTAAATGGATATAAGCTACTTCATACTTTCTATGGCTAGAACATGTACAGGCACAATTATCAGAAAAACTACCACAGTGCAAATCCATACCAATTTACCCCATGGCAGGCTGCTTAAGTTGCTGTATGCTTACCAATGGTATTTTAAATGGAGAAATTATAAGAGTGGCAAGAAAAGCATCTTTCCCTTCTTCTTCAGCATGCGCTCCAGCAGAAAAGCAAGCACAGAGTACAAAGCATACTTGTAACAACTACAGTGGCTCAGCCCACTGCAGCACAAGTGCTAATTATGAGAGTGTCTGTAGGAACAAGCAGATTGCTCCATGCTCCTGCAAAGGCAGAGCCACCAGCTACAGCAAATCACTCATCGCATCCTGCATGTGCCTTGTCTTTCAAGAAAATTTTAGTGCAACTAACCCTTTTTTTTTTTTTTTTTGAAAAGACTCCCATTAGGAAGCCAAATTACAACTGCAACAAAGGCAATTTTCATAGGCATTTCTTCACAGCCACAAAAAGGTACAGAAGCTGCACTGTAGATGTTGATATACAGGTGCTACACAAGAATATAAGCCAGGAACAGAGCCACCTCTAGAGGAGGCTGCCACTTATTTCTTCTGCCTGGAGCAGGTCTTAAAACCAAGGAGAAATCCTGTGGTTCCCCACCTTGCCCTGTTTGTGGAGTTTCCTGCTCTTCAGCGGATGAACAGCAATCTGACAAGTCATCACCCCACTAAGTTTTGAGCCGTCTGGCCAATTGTTACCCCCCTCTGAGGTTTCAAAGATGCTTAAGGTGCTACAGGGCAGGAAGAACCACTGCTGTGGTGGGGCAGTGGCAAGGAGTAACCACAGCCTACAGAAGAACTCATCTGCACAGTACCACCAACCAGACAAGAAGTGTGATTTTAACAAATTTTTGTAGCAATACTGAGCTGGGGGGTGGGGGGAGTGTCAAACAAGAAACCAGGAGTCCTCCTTGTATTTACAGCAATTAACCACTTTAATAATGACTAAATTGCAACCATAACACTACTCCTTCCTATGCCTTTCCTACAAAAAGAAGAGTTAAAAGCAAATTCAATCCTTGCAGTACACAGGAGCCTAAACATACAAGCAACAGTGGTCTTCAGTTTCATTCAGCAACTCCATCTTCACCCAAGAAAT